CGGGCAGGAGCACATGTGGGGGCCCCGCCCCTGCCCCTGGCACCCAGAGCAGCACCGTGGCGGTGGGCCCCGTGCCACTGTGCACCTGGGGCTCAGGGGGCCCAACCTGCAGCCCGATGGGGAGGTGCTCAGGACATGTGGGGCAGCTGCTGCAGTTTCTGAATTCCCAGGTGCAGCCCAAGGGCACAGCTCACACCGCGGCTCTGCCCCGGGGACCCCAAGGGATGCTGGCGATGGCCGCAGCCTGGCACTGAACTCATTCATGCCAGGGCTTTTATGAAAAGTAGGAAGGGGACAGGTCGCTGAGGACACACCTGATACAAGCCCAGTGTCCTCCCTCCTCCAGGACAGACAGTAACCTTCCCATCGAGCCCCTCAGTGCCTTTGGGCTAAGCAAAGGAGGTTGAAAAATCACCCGCAGCATCCAAGCATCCAGCCACGGCACCATCAGGCACAGACCTCCACACTGCTGCAATGCTTTCTCAAGGACGCCATCAATCCACAGGCAATATCATACTGTCTTCTACTACCACAGCTGAGCAGGCAGCCCCTGCCATCGCCTCACCCCGTGATCCCTCCGGGCCTTTCTCATGCTGTGTATGAAACTTCTATGCAGAAGGGAAGTTTTAGCATCTACTTAACCCAGCAGAACCAAGTGTCTCACCATCTACAGTCTTTAGCAGAAGGTCCAAGAGGAGCCACAGTTATCGGCAGGTGGAAGTCTGCATTTCAGCTTTGGCTTTCCCATGGGGTTTGTGTTGCTCGGGCTCTGCCTAGAAATACGCCCAAGTTTTTCCACGCGTAGGTATAACCTTACAGCACTGTGCATTAAGGGAGCAGAAATCACTACCAAGGATGGATAGAAAAGAGGCGATGCCATGAGAAAGAGCATGCAGAAATGTCTTTAACATGCTCTAACAATCTGAAGAGAAAGCTCACACCTACCTGCGGCAGTCTCTCCAACGAAACAAATGCATTGCATCCCTCTGGACTATTTCAGAGTGACATTAAGGAAAGAGAGATGGAGTATGTACACTGGGGGCCTGAAATGAGCCTAGAGCTACTAAATGCCAGAGCAGCATTTCAAAGGCACTGCCCTGTGAAGGGTGAATATCAGTGCTGCTCCTGCCCTCCTTCCCTCTGCTCCTCACTCCCACACACATGCACGGATGGGTTGAGATGCAGGCAGGCAGACTGACGTAGCTGCAAGAGGCTTTATTTGAAGGGCTTCTCAAGCACAAGCCCTGATTATTATACAGCTGGCTGCCCCAATCACTCGGGAAGAAAAAGCACTCCAATGATACATGGAAAACTTATCTTTAAAATAACAAGGCATTAAAACACTTGAGAGCAGTTGCATTAAGGTCGGCAGGAGCATTTCCATTCCCCAGCCTGATCGCCCCCGTGCCCAGGCCAGGGAACCTTGTGTCACTCAGTTTCTCCTGACTGGGTCCCCACTAGTCCAGCAACAGCAATTTGTTTCCTTGGATCTGCACCTCAAAGGAGGCTCAGAGAGACGGCCTCGCCTTCCCCTCCGCAGCGCCCGTCCCCTGCACGGGACGCTGATGGCACCACCTCTGCGGAGAGGGTGGACGGGCAATTCTGGCAGCCAGGATGGGCACCCAGAGCCGCTCTCTCATGGGTGAGGAACCTGGATGGAGGCACAACTACCCCTTGTAAAACGCCCCAGAAGCCACAAAATGCTGCGTAGCTCGTGAGACAGTTGTGTGCGGAAAGCCCAGCAGAGACGTGAGCATCTCCCTAATTCCTCCACGAACCCGCAGTGCCCCTTGGCCACGCCGCTGCCGGCTGAGAACATTTCTGAGGGGGCAGGCTGCATTGCACCAGTAAGGCACTCAGGTGCAAAGCCAGGGATGGACCAGCTCAAACCTCCGCTTTCAAGGTTTCGCTGCATCCCTGCCTGCAGGCAGCTATTCCCAGGTGCTCTTGCATTTCCCACCAAAATGGCCAGCGTTTACATGTTTGTTTTCAAGCCAAGGCTGACCCTCTGAAAACGCAGAGCAAACCCCACCAGGCTGCCTGGGTTTGCTGCCCAGCGCCTGCACGCAGAGAGCGGCCGTGCTCTCTGCCCGCCTGATGCACCAGCACCCCTCGCTAGCTCACAGCATGGTCCACGGCAGCAGCTGGCATCTTGATGTACACAGAGCTGTGCAGTGCTTTGCCTGCTCCTTCTCCCACACGTCACAAATCCCCCCAGTGCCGCAGTCCCCTGGCAGAGGCAGCAAGAAACGTGGGGATTTAGAAGCCGACGCTCCCGCAGCAGTGCCCACCAAGCGACCTCCGTTATCTGCATTCCCTGATCCACATAAGTGGCACCCAAACCACATTTTACAAGCTTCCTTACCCCTTCGCTGTAACATGCCCTAGCAGAGACAGCACTAACATAAGCAAGACCAGCAGCATCCAAGGGGCCCAGCCGAAGGACAGAGAAGAGGGCTCCCACGGCAGCAGCAGAGTGCTTGTACGGCGATGGACTCCAAATCATTTGGTTTTATACGGGAAGTTCTTCAGCAGAAGGATGGAGGGCTGTATTTGCATTGCCGCACCATCCCTGGACCATGCAGGAAACTCTCCCTGGACCGTGCAGCTCCCCAGAACCTATGGACACCACTGTAAAAGGCTCATCTTCAGCCCAGCATCCCGAAACACACCGTCCTCTTATCTGACAAGCAGGGATCAGCAGCGGCAGGGGAGGAGGTGCAAAGGCTGCTACAGGGGTCCCAGC